CTGGTTTTATGTTGTGTTTTGTAGGATTTTGGACAAATTTCGAACTTGGGGATGGTTGCTGTTGAATTCGCGCTTGGCGCTGTTCTTCGCGCCGGGCGCGTGACCACCAGGGGACTCCATTTAGGCAAGTCCGCCAGGCGCAATGCTGTGTGCGCTAGGCGAGCTTGCAAATGGGAGTCTCTGGTTGGCCCGCGCCGGGCATGACTTGGGTTGCGCCGGACGCGATATCACTGGTGACATGTTTTGGGTATTATGGAGCCGCGCTAGGCGCGGGGTTGGACCCGCTGGGCGCGGAGGCTCTTTGGGAGTCTCTGCCAAGAGGGCGCTGGGTGCAATACGAAATGCATCGGGCGCGAGACCTTGGTGGGTCTCTGCCTTCCCCACGCTGGGCGCGGGTTAGGCCCCGCTGAGCGCACGAGACACCTTGAGTCTCTGCCAGGCAGGCGCTGGGCGCAATTTGGAATTGCGCCAGGCGTGTGAGAGCCTTGGTGCTCTCGGGTTGAGTCTCGCCAGGCGCGAGTACTCCTGCGCTGGGCGCGCTGGTCCTGGTGCTCTTTGGTTAAGCCGCGCTGGGCGCGACCTCGAGTGCGCCGGGCGCGCAAGGAGATGATGACATATATGATGATGGCTGTTGAATTGTGCCGAGATTGTTAATCAATGATGTTATATGCTGAACTAAGTTGTATTTGATGTATATGCTGGGATGGCTAGGTAATAAAGCTGAGATAATAATATTTAGCTGTACTAGAGGTGTATTGTTGAGCTGAAACCGATGAATTTAATATGCAAAATTTTATAGTCTAACGGAACTATAGAAGGTTGGTGATAAATCATGATTTGATATGTATCTTTTCCTTTAATTTAGCTATTTTACATTCCATCCATGGCTAATTATAGGATTTAGATAGATATGTGTGTTGTTGGGCCTAATTGGATAGTTGGGAATTATTATTCTAAATTTTGCTGTTTTTGGGCTGATGAACATGTCTCGGTTTTCAGGCCATAACTTGGGCTGTGGTGATCCAAATGGAGCAAACTTGGTGGCCCTGGAAAGCTGAGACAAAGACCTAAAACTTTGCAGAAGGCGCCGTTGGCAACTTCGATCATCTAGAAGGCCAAATTCGGTGATCAATAATCGGTGCGGAAAAGAATATGGAATCCAACTCATCCCACCAACAACACCAAATCATCCCACCACCTACACAACTCATCCCATTTCGTTTTGTCTACACTTTTTCCCATTATTTTACAGTTTTTATGTGTTGTATGAAGGCTATAAATAGGCCTTCATTTCTCCATTGCAAGATGTCCCAAACACCTTCAAATAAGTTACTCTTGGGTGTTCTTCTACCTCCCTTTCTTCTTCTTCTTCTCAATTTCTTCTTAGTCTTTCTTGTTATTTAATGTTATAATGTCTTTTAATTTTATGGATAGCTAAGTTTCTAATTCAGCTTGTGGTAATAAGTTCTAATGGATTTTGAGGTTTGAAGAAAATTTTGTGTATCCTCAACTCTTAATAATTGAATTTATCTTTATCTTTCTATCTTGTTTATGCTTATATAATTGAATTTGAATTGATCACTTAAATTCATTACATAAGACGTTCTCATTAACTCCTTGAACTAAGACCTATGTGATGCTTACTTACATTGGACTTAAGAAGGAATGCAAGACCAAGAATTATGTGACGCTTGTTTACATTAATTTTGAGAAAGACAAAGGAATATTCATGGACTTAATTGATTGACTCATTAATTGTTTGCCGATTCAAGGACTTAGAGTTTAACTAGGGATTAAATGTGAATGAATAATTCTAACCTTGTTAACTCGAATCATGTTTGCTTAAACATTTGAAGAATCTCCTAAATTAATTGACGCTTGATTGATTAACTTTGGGACAAGCAAGATTTGATTAATTAAATTCTCCAATGGATGGCTTGTTGGATTCTTGGACTTAGAGACCAAATAGGGATTAAATTTGGACGCTTGATCCTAACCTAATGGACTCAAATAATGTTCGCTTGAACTTTGGAAAGAATCTATTTAAGTTTTGTTGGTGCTTAACTAATTGAACTTAAATGCAAGAATTTAATTATTATTTGAGATTGAGATTTTGAACCAAGGATAAATCCAAAGAACGAAAATCCACAAGTTGAAGTTTTTATCATCTAAGTTTATTATTCAACTTCTTGTTCTAAAAATTATATCAAACTCCAAACCCCCCCC